AAGGACATTCGGTAGACTGATTCCCCACTGTTGGTTCAACCCCAAAACTTGTTTGTATTCAAAATTAATTATGACAATGCATATTTATATTGAAACAAACTATGATAAAGGGAATTATATTATATAACAAAGGGCAAGGTCACCAGAGTTCAACTATGTTATAACATTTTAATCAACAGCACATCGCTTAATTTCCGACCGGAAAAACGACCATGTTTTTATCCCTTTTTTTTCTCACTCGCTTATTTAAAAACACTGACCGCTTGTTCAAACACTGAACACTGGCATATGAGTTGTCAAAATGATTGTTTTAGTGCTAAAGTTTGAGGATTCAACGAGTATTAACCATTATTTAATTTCGAACGACACTTCCAAACCACCATACACGTACTTTGTTTCGCTCGCGAACGTAACTTGGACTGTGTTCCGTTTGAATCCAGGGCGGCTACCTCGTTTCAACAATATGATTATCGAGACAATTACGTGATACAGGCAATGCTAACTCCTTAGGGCAGAGAGCAGAGACACCAGGAACATATTGATGCCACGGCCATGTATTTAAAATGCCAGAGTGCGGACGGGCGATATTTCTGGGTTCGCGCGCTCGAAAAATTAAGCGGAAATTATTCAACATGCGGTCTTTTGTAAAAATACGATCGGCCAAGATCTATATTATTCTGAAGCACGTCAGAGACAGACAAAATGCAGTTTTAAATATTGACACCGTTCGTATTTTTTAAATGAGTCAAAAAATAAATAAATTGTATGCTGCTTAAGCGATGATCGATCGAAACAGACTCATTTTGCAAGTTTTAACGGCTACGTTCTGCTGAAGATATAAGACTAAACTCCCTCGCGTGTCCGCGCGTTAAGTAGTAGGACCGTTCATGGGTTGTCCAATCAGTACTGTTGTATCGTCTATATCGTCAACCGAACGTTACTATCCGGACCTGCTCGTCGATTATTATTGCAAATGTAATTTCTTTCTCCCTGGTCAATGAATCCACAATCAATTGGGTATAGGTACGTTATTTTAGAATGATTTTCATTTGGTTTCACGTGATAGTTAATCTGATTTATCATATAGCATCACAAACAGGAAGTCCTCGGCATGGGTCACAGTACTAGTATACCCCGGACCACTCGTTTTGATGAATGGTCTGGGTCTGGGTGTGGCTTGTGGGTAAGAATAGAAAATGAATTTCGGTGAGGTTGTGATTATTTGGATTTTTGAGAACGGATTTTTACTATTGAAATGAAATTATCACGTCTAGGGGTGAATTGTTAATAGGTGAAGTGATGTTAAAAACATAAGTAGTTCATCTGCTTGCGTACACCGCAACAACAAAGGTTTATTTTCTAGCACATATCCCCAGTCAAGAAGGGTGACGTTTGGACGTAACCCCGGAGTTAAACCATAGACAATATAGTAGGAAGGACAAGCAACTCCAGCGCTTCTATTGTAGCAGGGTAGGCTGGAAATAAGTTAAGCTGATTTAAACTAACCGTTAACATAAACTAAATGTTTATTTCGATTTTTCGTTAAGGTAGAGATGCAGTTTACCTTACAGGTATTATAATTAGTTAATTAGGCAACCAAGATGACCTCCCTTGTCCACAAAACTATATATTTTTGGAAAGCTTATTGTATAAATTAAAAATTTTGGTAAGTGTTTGTTTTTTTGGACACTGTAGTTTGAAGTGTTGGTCAAAAGTGATTTAAAAAAAATTAGCTTCTAAATCATGCTTCTGTTTCCTGTCAAAATTGGTTTACGGGTACAACTGTTTACTATGAAGAAAGTGCCGTCTTGAAAACTTTGTTTTTAGGCGGCGAGAGTCGTGAACTCTCGCGAAATGCGGTATTCTAAATGATCACGAGTTCCCGTGTGTAGATGATTTGCTCGATGTTTTTTTTTTTCGGATTTGATGACAGTGGAAATGATAGTGCAGAAGATCCAAACGCAGTAGACACAGCAATTTTCTTCGTGGGGCGACCGCTGCCGCTGCCACTGTGTATGTATGCTATTGAATAATAAATCAAGGTTGAGTTGTAATTTTCACGACGTGTCTGTTTCAGTTTCACTGCTAAGAAGATCGACCCCCCCCCCACACACACACATACGCGGGTCATAGATTGGAGTTAATTCATATCGTTTTCTAACGAAACTAAACTAAACGGTCCTTTTTAAAGCCACCATTATCTTCCCAAAAGAGTGATACCGTACCAAAAATTACATAATTTAATTATATTCACACAGAAGTAATAAACTGTCACACATACTCGCCACGACTGACAAATTACTTTGTGTGGAGTATAAACAAGGAAAAAATATTTCTGCGTGTTTTTTTCCGTGTCCCTAAATCTTTTGAATGAAATAAAAAAAAACACTGATGCACGCATGTCAATGTTACTATAGTAGTCTGAGATGTTATGACTTAAGGTTAGGAGTACTTTAGGGTCAACTACTAGTATCTTATTCCGGGATCACAAAGGCTAATTGATATACAGAAAAATACAATA